CCGATATTTTGGTTATCGCCAAATACACTCTTCCGATCTCCTCGACTCTGTCTTTTGATTTCTCTGGGTGGTTACGAATTATATTAGAAGGTGTTACTGGTAGAAGCGTTGTCAAACACTGAATACCTGTGTCATCTTCACTCCATTGGGAGTAACAGGCGTAAGTAAGTAAGTAGGGCAGTTGGTCAGCAAGTATTTGTTTCAAGACTTATCAGTGCGTCAGCGGGTCCTCCGTTCTAAAAGACGAAAGAAGGTAAGGAATGGCAAATGCTAAACCGACGTTTAGTGTACCTGAAGATCGTCGTTAGGTTAAATCTGTTCCTCAGGTGTATTAAAGGGTAGACGTAGTATATTTGTCATTCTCAAAGAAAAAAATTGAGCGTTTACGAATCAGTATGATCCGGAGTATTCAAACGTACTACAAAATCTTATCATTTTTAGAGAGCTTCAACCGACTCACCATCTCAACTATTAAAATTACTATAATATCAGCAGAACACCTTCTGATATTAAATACAACATTGTTTAGAATGTATTTGTAAGTCCAGTGAAATGCATAGTGGCTAGTGCTATGTGAAGCCACCATATATCACATATATTGCCTGTAATTGTCAAGCGGCTTACCGAACACGGTTGCGCGTGGTTATGTCAACTACGCTGCACGGAAACAAATAGCTGGCTATCCGCAGCCGCTACAATACTGAAAACCGATAAAAGAAGTACTAGCATGTGTAATAAAGGTCCATCAAAAGGTACTCACTCAGTCGATACACAAATCGGTGTGAATTTATCTCACGCAAGCTAAGAGTCGATTGGCTCACATGGTTCAAAGGAGGAAGGACCGACTTCAACGAGGTCTATCAGAAATAAAACCTCAAGAAACGAGCTTTCTCTTGTCTTCTACCCTCGAAATGAGAGCGTTAAGAAAACGCCTGGTAAACTGAACCGCATGGCTAGGTCTTTTTCTACCAGAAAAAAACAGCCTCAGTACACGAGTCGTCGACAACCATCAGAAGTCTCATCGTACGCGTTACGTAATTGTTTTTCATACTTCACTTAAAGCTGATCGATAAGCACGAATCAAGGGTGAGAAACAATCTGATGTCATTGAACAAGGACCAGTCTCCGAAACTGTAGTTGAGCTCATTTCAGTGAAAGGTCAGTTTCCTTTCATGTAGTCAGGGGAAGTGAAAGAGCAGAATCAGAAATCATAGATCTACTTAATAGGCTAATCATACAAAATATCTCTCAGGTCACCTTGATGATGGTTTGTAGATTGAGTAGCAAAACGGACTTGAAGCGGAATTAAACCAGGCTGCTAAATATGGTGCTTAAAACTCCTAATGAAATGAATTTAACACTACAGAATGAGCATAAGGTAAAGGGGTCAGCAGTTTTTTGTCCATAATAGCTTGTCGCTTCAGGACAGTATAAAACGTCGAGAGGCTATAAAGGAACTAAATCCAAGGTTAGATACTAGCGAGAATGACCTCAGAATTGTGTATTTTCAGGTGATGAGGCTTCGGCAGAGGACGAGACGGAGGCTATATCAGGTGCAGCACAAATCCATCTAAATGGTCTCCAGATATATTACACAAATGCTCGGAGCTTGCTCGGCAAGCGATCGGAGTTAGGTGCACAGATAAACTCTAACAAGCCATCACGAAAACTCGACTGGCTCAGTACGTAGACTGTGGCATACCTGATTTTCAAAGTCTCATATTAGTCATAGACGACACCACCCAGAATAGTAAAGGAGGAAAATTTGCTCTATCCATTATACTGTCTCATTTACCGTTATCGATAATGTATCTCGTGAAAGTGAGACGTGTGAACCGAGAGGTTGCGAAGGTCAAGAGCTGCTGATCGGTTTGGTCTACTGCAATCTAAACTGTGAGGTGAATGAGGTCTTGTTAGACAGTCTCAACACCTGGTCATCCAGTGGTTGGTGTTTAATCTAGAGGACCTTAACGTACCTATGACAGACTGGGAAACTCTGAGGACTGAGTTGTCAGAAAATCCTGGTTGATGTGGTTATCATATGTGCCCTAGTGCAATATGTGAACAAAGCAATGATGTATGATCCAGACGCCAAATCATTCTCTCTAATGGATCACATATCGACCCATTATGATAATGATGCCACAAACCCCCATTATATGCCACTTTCAGGTAGCAGTGACAATGCAGTTCCAGTCTTCCATTTCCTTGTGGTTGTCAAAATCCATGTGTCAGTCAAAGAAAGAAAAAACTTCTAGAAGGCGAGTAAACACGAAATCATACACTTGGCATCCTCAGTTGATCGAACAATAAAGTCAGAACCCTAAATTGAATCGGCTCAGGAGGTATTTTGAAATATATACGTAAACGTTACCGCACCACATATTACTTGGACTTTACCAGGGAGCCCGAGAAACTCCCCACATGGTTCAGTGGGGAGTTTCGCAACAGGTACGAAACACAAACTTGAGAACTATCGACCCGTAAACCTAACCAGCATGATCATCAATATTTTCGGAAAGATTATTTGTAAGACGCTCCCCAGGTATCTGGTAGAAAACCGGGCTCTTTCTGTGAAGCAGCAACAACTTAAAGTAGTCCAGCTATGAAATTTTATCTAGTGGAGCGCTTCAGAGTTTAGTTTTGGAGTAAGAGTTTTTCCTCCTCCGTGTAAATGACCTTCATAGTCTCCCACCATCAGTTTTGCTATATGTTGAAGATGTAAAGATATGGGGGGTGATGAAAAGTAAAGATGATTGTTTTAATCTTCGAAATAACCTGTAGAAATTATCTGGATGATCCAAACTTTTGCAGTTGCCGATAAATGATTCCAAGTGCATTACGACGCAAATTGATCACCAAGGTACATATACATAGACAGTGAATAAAATTGGGTTACCTGTAGTCCAAACATAAAATGATCTAGGAGTCATCGCGAGTCAAGACTTAAAACTAATGTGCACTACCGTGCAATAGCCTCCAACGGCTTTAAAGCTGTATGTTTAATACGTGGAGCTTCTAACCATATCGATGAAAAAACGCTTTTGACTTTTTCTACAGAATTCCTTCGTCCTTAAATCCGGTTTTCGTACACATGTAAATGAAGATAACTGGTGTAGCAAGAGCCTGTGCATCAGTAGGTCACCGATAACACGAACCCAATCATACTTGAAGTTAAAACTCTGAAAGGGGTGAAAAACTTCACGTACCTGTTTAGCAAAATCATCGATGAACAAGGGGGATCTGATATAGAAGTAAAGATAATTATTGACAAAACAAGAACAACATTCCCACAGTTGAAGAACATGTGAAACTAAAAACAACTGCCAACCAATATCGAAGTCAGAATCTTCAATACGAACGTCAAGACAGTTCTACTAAATGGGGCTGGAACTTGGTGTAGAGCCAGTGAAATTCCACTGAGCCCTAACCAAATCATCCGGCAGTTGGGTCATTGAATGTCGAACAAATCATCGATCCCCGTCAAGGTCAAAGAAAATCGACGCGCACCAGGGAATCGTACGCCATGGACTGGCCCATGCGGTAGTGATCTCGCCTTCGCTTGTATCTACTTTAAACAGTATATTTCCGTAATAACATCCTCTGTGTTGTACAGTCTTCAGAGCATCCATGGTACCTTGATACGTCAGTGGGGTAGTCCACGTAAGGTGCTGACCATAAGGTGTGACTTCGATGTTAGCTGGTTCGTCACACAATTTTCGTCTCAATCAAGTAGGCCTCCGATCATTCGACATAGATCATCTACGTTGGTGATCTACATTGGGGAACTATCACAACCACCACCAATATAGTGCAAGTATTTGTAAACGATTGTCTATACAAGATACTCAATATCCGTTGGTCGGATACCATCAGCAACAGCCTACTGTGTGAGAGAACAAACCAGCTTCCATCTGACAAGGAAATTAGAAAGTGACGCTGGATGTAAATAGGAAATACATTGTGGATATCATCAAATTGCACTATGAGACAATCCCTAACCTGTAATCCTGAAAAGGAAAGGAAGAAGACTAAGGAACACGTTGTGCAGGGAGTTTGAGCCAGACATGAAAAGGATGAATAGCAACTGAAAATAGGTGGGAAGGATTGTCCAGGACTAAGTTGGATGGAAAATTATGGTGGTCGGCCTGTGCTCCTCCACGAGGGGTAGCAGGCGCAAGTAAGTATACTCCAGTTTTGTGTACAAATGTCTAGCCTCTACAAAAAACAGAGACAGTGAGCTGTTGGAGAAGGTTCAAAGAACCTCAGCCAAGCCGATTCTTGAAAATCGGAGCTCTAGTATGATTCTCGACTAGACATGCTATATCTGTTTCCCCTGTCATATAGAAGAACGAGAAATAACATGAACATAGCCGTTAAATTATTTAGTGATGAATCCGCATCTGATATGCCCTCACTTTCCTTGTCTTTCAAAACAGAGAATTTACAAGAACACTCAAAGAAGGTTTACAAGCCAATAGCAAACGATTTGTCAGCTGACAATCGACATTCCCTTTGAATCGCCAACAAATATAATTCATTACCTCAACACGTGATTGCATCTCCACCTGCGGACCCTTTCAAGAGGAAGGTAGACCGACTGAGAGACCATCACTGCGTGGACCAATACAGGTCACTTACCCTTCGTCCTTTCTAAACTGGAACTGAATTATTCGTCGCCCACTCACATCTTTAGCATTATATCCAAATATGGATAAACTTACGTAAGTATGTAAGAAGCTGTATATCATAAATAAGTCTCAGTTTACACGGAAATGCATTAGTTAAATGGCGTTTTTTAGCTTTTCTGATGAATATTAGCCAAAAATATTCAAGCAATTACTTGGTAATATCGGTATTTTTAAAAAAACGATACAAATAAATCATTAAGGCGATTCTGACAACAGAAAGGCATATTTTTAGTACAAATAACAGATATTTATTGCATAGTGAAATCGAAAAGTTGTTGATACTAATCATTTCTGATGCTGTTGTTTGAAGTTTCTCGTCTGCGGCGCTATTTCTGTATTGTCCGCAAAGTATGCGGGAATACAAGCTGGTTGTGCTTGGCAGTGGTGGAGTTGGGAAGAGTGCCCTCACTGTTCAGTTTGTGCAAGGGATTTTCGCTGAAAAGTATGATCCAACTATCGAAGACAGCTATCGGAAGCAGGTTGAAATTGATTCCCAACAATGCATGCTAGAGATTCTCGATACAGCTGGAACTGCAAGTCATTTTTTAAAGTGATATTTATCGTAAACTTATAGGAGCAATTCACAGCAATGAGGGATCTTTACATGAAAAATGGTCAGGGGTTTCTGCTAGTTTACTCCATCACATCACAGGCTACATTCACTGATCTCAACGATCTGAGAAAACAAATCCTTCGTGTCAAAGACGTTGACGAGTTTCCACTAGTTCTGGTTGGAAATAAATGTGATTTGGAAGATGAAAGAAGTGTGGGTACCGAACAGGGAAGAAACTTGGCAAATGAGTGGAAGTGTCATTTCGCAGAGACTAGTGCCAAGACTAAATCTAATGTAAATGAGGTGAGTATTTTACGTTGTTTCGTACATATTCAATCAAATTTAGTGTCATTATACACTCACATGCACTCCACTCAAATTGGAAATTCAGTTTTAATGTTGCGAGCTCTCTAGTATTTTTATTGGGACTCTATCACGTCAGTCCGAATTTGGTCGTAGGTTTTTCGATTGTCCGATGTTTAGCAATGAAATAGTAAGAGGATTTAAAGTGTTTCAATCAGACTCAAGCATTTTAAAGTCATGATTATCCCCACGTTCGGGATTTATTCCAAGTCGAACATTAAACATCTGTAGTGAAAGCCGCAAAAATGTATCCTAATTTAGACGGACGTGTTTTGTAAGTTAGTATGAGGTCCCACTCTGGTTTTCAAATGAGATAAACATCTTTAACACAAATCAGTCATGATTACCACTGAACATACTTCACACTTTTGCTGTCTGACATGCACTTCTGAGTATAAAGTTTATAAGTATAAGCACTTAGCTTTACGGCGGTTAGTAGAGTAAGCTTTATCAACGACTTTTGAATGATTATTACGAGTCAAAAACGTCTAGATGTATAGGTTTACCCGTTCTAACGTATCGGTTTTCAGGTGTAGTAGCTTACAACCTAGCTGAGGGGGGTTATCACTTCTAACGCCATGTCTTTATTGTTGATGGATTCTCGTAAACTCATCCCATCAGGCTCTGAACACGATAAAGAGCGACAACAAATCAGATCTAGGTTGACCACAAGTCTAAGAAACGACCGTGAGCAGCAGTGGGCAACGAAAGCAAGAGAGATGAAAAAGGCGGCGGCTATAGGGAACACAAGACAGCTCTACAGACTAATAAAAGAAACTGGAATTAATAAGTCAAGTGTAAGTCAGACTATTTCGGAAAAAGACGACACCCTCATCTGCTCTCAGTCCAGACGTTTAGAACGATGGGCGAAACATTTCAGAGAACAGTTCAGCTACTTCACAACTACCCTCCATTTCCAGACAGTGTGAATGGAACATTAAAGTAGGTCCCCCAATTCCAGCAGAAGTTCAAAAGGCTATAGTTAATCTGAAACGAGGAAGGGCAGCTGGCCCAGATGGATTGGCTCCAGAGGTCTTTAAGGATGGCGGTCCAATTGTAGCGATTAGGTTGACTAATATTTTAGCTAAGATCTGAGAGTTAAACGTTATTCCATCTGACTGCTCACAATCACTTATCGTCCCAATATATAAGAGAGGGTTAAAGTCATCCTGTGATAACCATAAAGGGATTAGTTTAACTAATATAGTATCTTAAATACTAGCCTCGATAATTATCAGACGCCTAACTAAGACTCGTGAACTGCAAACACGAGAGAACCAAGCTGACTTCAGACCTGGTCGTGGCTGCATCGACCACATATTCACCGTTCGTCAGGTTCTAGAACATAGGCATACTTATCGGCGTCCAACGATGGTTGTCTTTCTTGACTTGAAATCGGCATTAGACTCGGTAGACCGCGAGATTCTGTGGCAGTGTCTGTCATTGAAAGGCGTACCTCAGAAGTACATAAACCTTGTGAAGGCTCTTTACTCAAACACTACCAGTCGCATCAGAGCTTATGAAAAGTTGTCATTTGATTTTTCAACATCAAGTGGTGTCCGTCAAGGCTGTCCACGTTCTTCATTTCTGTTTAACTTCATCATAGACCTACTGATGGAAATAACTTTCTCGTCGACTGAATTCTCGGGTATTGATCTCCTTCCAGGAGGTCCACTTATCGACTTAGAATACGCAGATGATATAGTCCTGTTTGGTGAAGACACTGATAAAATGCAGTCTTTTGGTAGCACTAAGCAACAAGGCCAGAATGTTTGGAATGCACTTCTCTCCCTCTAAATGCAATTTGTTGCTTCAGGACTGGTCTGCGTCAACACCTGAACTAAGGATAGGGACTGAAGCATTCAAACGCGTTGACAGCTTCACTTATCTTCGAAGTCTAATCAGCCCTATTGGGCTGGTGTCTGACGAAATCTCAGCACGGATTCGATAAGCTCGTTTGGCTTTTGCCAACTTACGTCACCTATTTCCTTGACTAATATCTTCAAACCCTAATTTTTCCGATTACTGCTTGTACTTTTACTACATCTACCACTACGGGATTTGAATTGACAATTGTGCTAATGTGGTATGGCGAATCGAAGTGATGTACGCATGTACGAAGTTCTACGTTGTTACCGACTGACTGACTAACGTGGTCATCCACAGTGTTGTTAAGACCCTAACATGATTATTCGTTAATTTACTTCATTTGTTATTTTACTTGTAATCTCAGTTCGCTCTTGAGTACTTAACTATTCAGTCCATGGAGTTCCTTAAAATTAAATTCATTAGAGTTTATAGTAATTTCAAATGTTTTATTTTTCAGATATTTCACGATCTTGTTCGTCAAATTAATGCGAAGACACCCAATCCTGCATCGAAGTCGTCGAAGAAATCAAAATGCTGTTGTCTGTGAAATATCAGTTTTGTATGCTTTTAATATCTTATTTATTTTCGCGTCTCTAAAATGACCAAGCCTCACTAACTTACATTCGAGAGCGCATTATTAACCTTGTTCTGACTTCGTGTAGTAATTGTGCCCTTACTGTTTTTGTTCGCTGGTCTCATTTTTTAAATTTAGTATATTATGTTGGCATTCTTTTGTCCCAGCCTCTCTGATGTTTCGTGTAGTTCTCACAAAGACAGTTTTGCTTCACTTGCCTGCTTCCTGAATGATGAAATCAAAACAGGTAATACCTAGTTCTGAAACATCCTAATCAATATATGCCGTTTAATTAGTAATATTTTAATGTTTTTAATCTTCATTTTTGTTTCTTTCGACTTCGGTGTCAGAATTTTTTGTAATGTTCACGCTTTCTGCCTTATACAAACTTCAGTTTTTTTAAATTTCCAATGGTCCGATGTGGTGTGACATAATTATCCAGTTAGGATTGTGTATAGTTTTTAACTGTTTCTTTTATTAACTTTGTTTTATTATCACATGTATCGGTGATACCCTTATGTTTTCTGATTTTACATTAATATACGCTTTCAGCGATCTCAATCATTTTTGGGAAATAAACTTACATTATATACAATATATGTTATACAATTTTCGTAAAACAACTGATTAAGAAATGACTGAATTTTTTAGGAAAAAGGTGAAACAAACGAAAAATATATACGGTTTTGATTGACAATTACATGTGACAAATTAGGGTAGTGAGTTTTATTTCCCATATTTAATTCGATTTTGTGGAACACTTGGTAATAAATCCCTTATATGGACTTGCGTAATGACTATCATGTGGTGCGACACCGATTACGAATATATGGTTACATTCGTTGACTAATTTATTTGTATTTGTTATGACCATTAATCCAATAGCTTAGTTAAATCCTTGGCGTGGGAAATGTTACATGTTTCTTCATAAGTAAGATTCAATCAAATTATTGTTCTGGCCGCCTGAAATGGTCCCATACACATTAATTTAGCACCGATCTATGGGCTGTCGTGCTAGATTGCAGGGTGTTAATTGAAGACTGACAATCCAGTTTAAGGCTCTTCGGTGTTACAGTAAATCAGTCTATTCAGAAATCATCTGTTTGCCACAACATTGAACAAGGTGAATAAAAGTAACTGAAGATAAAACCCTCAAATGCTCTGGTACGGCCGAGAGTGGGGAGAGTCAGCTCTTCCTCGAAATGCTCTCACGTGACCACGTGCATACAACCATTGCCAGGGAAGTCCTCACCGCCTTCTCGCGACGGGATGTTGCTTGCGAAATTGAGAGGGCGAAAAGCGGGTGTCCGGCGCTTTAACCGGGCTGTTGGGTACAGAAGATTCACCTAGAAGAGTTGGAAAACACTGATTCAAAACAAATGGTGAACATGGCCTGCAGTATCTTGAAGGAACTAGTGACGTATGGACCTAATGTTGGTTACTGGCTAGCGTGGAACTGCGTCTCTTTACGTTTCTCTACTGTCTTATGGATTAGACCTTTGGGTCAAAGGCTCGGGGTGTGACCCCCTAAGGAAACTACCCACTTCTATTTGGGCACCTGGGCAGTATCGCAGCCCTCACACAAAACGGGTGATTTACGTGGCTCATATCTATTTGGTGCCTCTTTGTACCAATGTTTGCATGTTTAAATAAATAGAAGATAAAGTCTCTAATCATGAGCCAATCAAATGTGCTCTTCAAAGCGGTATGGTCATATCCAGTAAATTTCATCATTGAAGTTCTCTTAACAGGTACTAATTGCAGACTTTCTCTGTGTCTACATTGATCGTCAGACAGAAGTTAATTATACAACAGCGTTTGCTGAAGACTAGTGGTACTTGTTTCAAGGCAAGTTTTGATGTTAGATATGCTTCAGGCTTAGGTCCATAGAAAATGGATTTTTCTCATAATCGTATTATCCGGAAACAAGCTTGCTGTTGGTCGATTTTTTCTTATTTTAAGTAGGACAAATCTTTTCTCAAGTAACATATAAAAGAGGTAAGTCCTTACTATCAGATCACATTCTTAACAATAGTTCTTAAAACCACTTATTGAGTGTCGAGAAAACATTAAACAAACTACGTTCGTTCTAGTGATGATTGTTGAGGAGCTGCTGAACAGGGTTTTGATTAAAATAAGGAATGGAAACATTCGAGACATACTTGTTACTGTATAAATAACTTTTAAGTCTATATGTTTCGGGAAAAGCTCAACGATTTCTTATCTGATTTTCAAACTAATGCACTTTCCAAATACTTGAATCACTAAACGAGACAAAAAAGGAGAAGTTATAGATTCAATACCTCTAACTCATACTATAAGTAGGTTGAATCGCATAGAAATTGAAGATTTGAACGACAATTATATTTAGACATCCAATTACTCATAGTTTGCTCACCATTCTACTAAGTCTACAGAAAAATCTTACATCAACTTCCGACTCCACGGTTGTTCTTAAAATTGACAGATAATTCCCATTTAAACATTAAAATTAAAACACGAACTTCAACGAAGAGATCTCTTTTCAACGAATTTATTATCAAGCTGTACAATCGTATATATATGAAAAAGTACTAATTCCGTGAGGAAATGTGAACACAATTAACCAAGATTACGTAATAGAAAGATTATAATACTAGATTACGTAATACGAATGATAACAATAGATTTAGTGAATATAATAAGATGATTAAAATGTTTTTATCAGAATGAGTTTTGTGGACGGCCAGTAGGTCCTGGGTTCGAGCCCCGCGTAGTGCGGGGTCGTGGATGCGTACTGCTGAGGAGTCCCATACTAGGACGAAACGGCCGTCCAGTGCTTCCAGGTTTTCAATAGTGGTCTAGCTTCAACTGACTCATGATTTCAACTTGTGTAAAATGTTTTTGTTATAATAATTAAAGGTCATAGAGGTGTAGAAATAAGTAAGGTGATATGATGAGCATTTACGAATAAAATAGTGAGAATATAAAACAAAAGTAAAGGGGGAATGCAGTAATAATAATAATAGGATAATCAAAATAATTAAGGCCAAGATAACGATCAGACGTACTTCTTACGTACGCATAGTTCTGGTTTCAGGAACTTTTAATATAAAACAAGAATATGAAATTCTTGTTTTTTGTATTCATGAAACGGATAATATTCTTATTTCTTTTTACACTTACTATATGACCTTTAATCACATGAATCATTTCAACGATGATGGTTTCAACTTGTTTTCTAATGTCATTATTTTATTCCTAAATAAGTTAATTTTCTCAATTTTGTTTACTTCTCTATGAGCTTTAATCACATTCATCTTTGTAATTATCTTATTACATTCACTAATAAATGTCATCATTAATTTATTTACCTAACGACAAAATTACGATTTTCACTAATTTAAAATATCCCTATTAAAATGTACTCAAAATGTACTTTTATTAGATAGTTTACAAATGTGTTACTAAAACATGAACCGTAATCACATTATTTTAAATATAAAATTACTAGATTAGTCTTCATTAGATGACAAAATCTTGTCCAAGTTTTCTTAACCTTTATATCTAATAAACGTTAGAAACAAGTTTACGAATACATGAGCGATAATCGCTTTTCCATTATTAATCTCTAAGGGATATCTAAATTCATGAGACATTAATAAGTGCTTAATCACTTGACCTTTGCCGCGGAAAAGTAGTGGATAAAAAATAATGGAAATCAAATTGTGGGTGGCCCTGAAAAGGGCCTTTACTCGTTCTCGCGGTCAGACGTCATCACTATTAGTTTGTAATGGCGCCACAGATAGGACAGTGCACTGCTCGTACGTTCGGTGATGGGTCGTAGGCACAGAAGGTATGAAACATTGCTTCACATCTACAGAAAACCCAACCAACCGCATCACCGGTTTCACACGGAGGCTGCGCAAGATTACAGATG